CCACCCTCCCCTGGCTGGTGCCCACTGCCCACCTCCCCTTCCTCCCAGCCCTGGCCCTGGCCCTGGCCCTCACCGAAGTAGACGTGATTGTGCGGGCTGAGGTGGAAAGCTGTGCCTGTAGCTCTCGCAGAGACGCTGGCCCCGCGGGCAAGTAGGGCTCGCACCAGGTTCACGTTCTGTTTCACGATGGCTACGTGCAGTGCAGTCTGACCTGGTTCAGAGGGAGCCCTCAGTCATCGGGTTTGTTCCCAGGGGTCCCCTATCTACACATGGTCCTACACCAGGACAGCCGGAGGGGTGGGGACAGAGGGGCCTGGGCCTGGCAGGGTGCCCGGCGGATCCAGGGGCTGCCCACTCTCTAGGCCTCCCCACTTCACGGGGTCAGTGCCCTCATGATGTATAGTGAGGCGGACAAGGGAGATGGAGAGGTGAATAAGAGGAGGGGTGCTCAGATTCCCCCTTTGGTTTCCCCACCACAGAGTCTGGCTTGAAATATCCAACTGGTCTCCCCTTCCCTTCCTCCTGGGCCCCCCGGGTCCTCACCCTCATACAGCTCAGATGTCATGGGCTCCTTGACCAGCTCCGGGGCTGCGTCCATCAGCACCATGGCCGCCTCCAGGTTGTCATAGAGGGCTGCTACGTGCAGCGCTGTCTCCCCCAGGGCTCCTGGCATTGACAGAAAGAAGAGGCATGGGGCTCCTCAGAGCAGGGGAATAGGGTCATTAGTGATTGGGGGGCCCACAGCAGAAGGTCCTGGGCTATGCTGGGGAGCCACACGCATGGGCTGGCTCAGGAGGGCGGCGCCGAGGGCTCTGCCCCTTTCTTACCTCTTTGGTGTACCTCGCAGTCCTGGTACATGAGCAGCTTGTTGAGGGCCTGGACATTGTTCTCTTTGGCTGCTAGAAGGAGAGGACACCCCAAGATCCTACAAGGGAATGGGATCAGAAAGGGGGCAACCGTGAGCATGCCCAGTTGGTGGAATGAGAGGTGATGGCTTTGCTCCGTCATAGATGAACACACGTACCTCGGTGACCCCAATGTCCCTGGTACCCAATGAACCCCAAGGTCTCTGGTCCAGGGAAATGAGGCCACTGGGGTGCAAAAGCGTTGCCCGATCTCTTTTTTCCTGACCATTCAGTCAATCCAAACCAACTTTCCCCCTTTTCGCTTGTGTGGGAGAATGTCCGTGAGTGGTTTCCCACCCCCAGGTACTGGCGCCGGAACGTGTGTGAATGTGTTATCTGTTATCAGGTATGGGCAGGAGTCTTACTTAAACACCCATTCACCTCCTGACCTATTGACTTCTGGACAGCCCTGAGTCAGCTCCACCAAGTGTCCTGAGATCACCCTCCAAGATAAGCCTTGTTTTCAAGGACTAGGAGTACAGGGAATTCCTCGGGCTTATTTGTGAAGGAAGTCAACACGTCGAGGTGAGCCGAGTTCCTCCGTTTGGTGATGCGCTCCTTCCAAGACCTCGGCAAAGCCCTTTGATCCTGGCACTTGCCTCCCTACAACAGCATCTTCAGGCCTCAGAAGCAACAGAGCCTCCTTGTTGTTTCCCTGGCCCCAGAGCCTCTTGCTACGTCCTACCTGCTTCTCGCTGGTTTGAAGCACAAGTGTTCTTCTGTGACTCCCCAAATCCTCCCTCGAGTTTTATTCCTACGACGAACTTAACAACCTCTTTTAAAAATCAAAACTTACCCCAACCAAAGACACATGGGACCCCTTTCATTCAATTTTCTCTCTCGGGCCCAGAGCCATTCCGTTTGGTCTTCCTATAGGAGCGAATGAAATAACCCTCCTGATCCAGAGATGGCCAATTATGTGGCAAATAAAAAGACCCAGATAGGCGCTCACGCACTGCCATGCTGGTAGTGGCAGGAAATCAATTCCAGCACTGGGGGCGGGAGGGTGCTCACGTCTCCCAGAATATTGGCCTCCCTCATGCTGTATAGACCCTGCCAATTCATCATCTAATTTCCTCTCTGTTCAACCCCTTCCTCCTCATCCTGACGGTCCCTCATGAACCCGTGTCCTCCTTCTCTAGCCCAAAGTTAGCAAAACATTCCTGTAGCTAGTTCCCCCCAACACACACCCTGTTTATCCCCAGTCCACCCTTCCCGATGCTGGCAAATGCAGTCACAGCTTACAAACGTCCAATGGGCCCTGAAATGCTCCAGGAGAAGGAAGCTAGAGGTCCTGCTGACTTTGTGCAATCACCTTTCCACGCTCTCTACCTTCCACTCAGCGCTTCCGCCCGGCATTGTGGCCTCACTGTCCCAAAGCACGCCATTCTGTGCCTGTGCCATACCGCTCCTCCCAGCTGAAACTTAAGCACCCCCTGCCCCATTCATTGTCTCTTTTGTGTTCCTAGGATCTGTGCCCGGCATATGGTAGACATTCTCACCCTCTGTAGAATGAATGAATTAGTAGCAGTGCCAAAAGGTGGTTTAGCCTTACTGTCTCTCATTATTTTCATTGGCCACCCCCTAAGCCAACCTTAAGCAAACATATAATCTACGTAAAAAAATAGTATGCTTGGTATGCAAACACAGCTGCAAAACAAGTTTGCTATACCCACCCCCCCACCACCACCACCACCCCACCCCAGCCCTCCCCTTCACCACCAGCACCACCAGCAGCAGAAGCTTCCCAACAATTTGGCCCAAACCCTCCTCTGTCGATATTCTAGAACCAGCATTATTTACAAACACGTGTGCACACATGCAGCCCTCCCCCAGGAAGGATTAGTGTCTGCCTCTTCCTCTGTACCTGCGGTACTCGAAGGCAGAGATCAGCCACTTTCTCATCACGGTATCCTTTCCCTGCTCTCCTCCAATTAGCTTCTGGTTTTGTGCCCACTTGGACTAAACATGTGAAAGGTTAGTGGCAAAGCTAGAGGCAGATGCCAGGGGTCTCCTTACCCAATTTCCAGCTTTGTCAATAGCTTCCTGCCTCCTAGGGTATGAGTGGGGAGGCTAGGTGACGGCAGGACCAAAGAGATAGATAGATAGATATCCATTTTGGTCCCTACACATCTCTGAAGCCAGGAAATGTCCCCAAAAACTTTCTCTATGTGTTCCTTTCCTTGCCTCTGCTAATGATCTTAGTGGGTTTGGGAGGGTCAAGGCGCTACTTAAGGTCCAACTCAGGCTTGTCAGATCTACCAAATAAAAATATGGGGTGCTTCATTAGATTTGAATTTTAGATACGAAACAAAGACTTTCTTGTGTAAGTCTGTCCCATGCAATATTTGTGACATGCTTATACTAACAACTCATTGTTTATCTGAAATTCAAATTTGACTCACTGTCCTGTATTTTGTCTGGCACCCCACACTCTGGGTGAAGAGGCAGCATAGGACCCAACCCAGCAAGGTCTGTAGAGAGCTGCAAAACCTCCTCTGGTTGGCAAACTCCAGAATCCAGCAAAAAGGGGGGCACGTGGATGGTTCTGAGGGGATCAGGCAGAGCCATTACTTGCAATAGCATCATAAGGCCACAAGGGGACAGCAGAGGAAGCCCTCGCTCACATTCTTGGCCGTAAGGGGGAACCCCAGAACACCTGAGGACTCTTGGCCCCCATTAAAAAGGTGCAAGAGTAGACCCATCCAATGATTCTTGTGCCTGAGGCACGGGTAGTTTCTTCCATAGCAACCCAGCACAGAAGTTTAGATCTGAGCAAAATCTCCACATCTTCACCACATCTCCACCAGACACCTCCCTAGGGCAGGAGGAGAGGGGAGATACTGAACGAGTATCTTCCTGTTTGCATGGTGAGATTATACTCTTTCCTTCCCAGGGGAAATTTTCACTTTATTTAGTAAAACACTTCACATTACTACCAGAAACCCCTATTTGCAAACAGCGGTTTAGAGCAGTGGTTCTCAGCCAGGGGTGATCTCCGGCTCCCTCCCAGAGGCATGTGGCAATGTCTGGAGACATTTTTGGTTGTCACAGCCGGGAGAGGGGCTGCTACTGGCTTCTGGTGGGTAGTGGGGGCATGCTGTTAAACACCTTCCACACAGAGCCGCCCATAACAAAGAATTTCCCTGCCCAACATGTCAATAGTGCCAAGGTAGAGAAATCCTGACTCAGAAGTATAATTATGTATAATCCACTTTTTTTTAAAAAAAAAAAAGGATACTTCACATTAAAAAGAGTGAGAAATATCCTATACGTGTTTTCTTACAAATCATGAAACAAAAAGGTGAAACCTTTTAAGTGCCCACTGATTAAGCAGCAACAAGAAATTATAGAGCGAATCTGAAATTATAACAGCATAAAAGGCATTTGCTGGGTTTAGACTGTTTCATTTCGCTGGGTAATTATTAATCAAATAGCAAGGCCTAGTTCTGTATTAGACTGGCGGGAACCCTACTACAGGATTCCCGGCATAAAACCTCACACTTTTTGTTGTAGTGTAAACAAATCATTGATTTCCTACTCTGGGTTCCCTCTGGCCACAGAGTGAGGATTTCTCACTTCCTTCTCGTAGTTCCCGCCACCCTGGCCTCTTCTCCACCATTTCTGATAATGTGTACGTGCCTGTGTGTACACACGTGTGTGTATGTGTGTGTGTGTGTGTGTGTGCGCGCGCGCGCAGGGTGCATAAGTGAAGTTTTGTGTTGCGTTGTGTTGCGTTGCATTGCTGGGGAACAAGACAGGTCCGAGAGTGTCTGCAGGAGAAATCAAACCAGAATTTTAGAGCAGGGACGTCCCTAGAAAACTAGTCTAATCTGTTCCTGTGACAGATGGAGAAAGAGGGCCTGGAGTCCTGAAATGACTTGTCCTAACACGTCTGAGGCAGAGCTGGGACGAGTGCCTCATTTGTCATTTCTCTGTCCCCATTCTTGTGTTAATCAAGATTGGAAACGGGGTTAAAAGAAGCTCAGGAGACTGTATAAACATGTGTGGGTCCTACTGGCTTCTCCACAAGCACCCTCCCAGTTGAGGGTGCCATTTGGGAAGGGGAGGGCACAGACAACACAGTAGCTCAGAGGACAGTTCCGGGATGGACACGGTTCTCACAGGAGGACGTTCACAACCCCTCTAGCTCCTCCTGCCATCATGGAAGGTGCCTTTTAACTGTTGTGTGTTTTTTTTCATCACAGTAATCCTATTGGTTAAACACGCTTTTTCAGCTTCCGAATCGGCATCTTGCTTATTATCCTATTTGCTCCTTACAGCCCTGCCACACAGGCTGAATAATTCTCTCATATTTCAGCAAAGGAAACTGAGGCAGAATAGCCAAATCCCTGCCGGAAGATCACAGCAGAGTTACAGGCAGGATGCCTAGCCAAGAACCTAGCCCCAGGCTTTCACCACTAAATTATGTGGTTCTTCTAGTTTTATGACTCTTCCCCGGCTTTCTCGGGGGAGGGGGCCAGCCCAGAGCAGTGACCACAGATGAAGGAAGCAGCAACCATGCGTGGGGAGGAGGAACACACTGGCCACTTTGGGCCACCTCCCGCCAGGTCAGTTTCTTGGCAGTGGGATGAGGTTCAAAGCTTCCAGGAAAGTGGCTATTTCCAGACTTGGAATAGGGCCGCCCTCCTAACTGCCACAACTCCGCCATGCATCTAGGTAGACACTTGTGCCTGCAAGTACGCATGTGTGTGTGTTTACTGAGCCAAGGAGTCCCAGGGCTCACTTTTCACAGGAGTATGTGGCAGTTCACATACATTTGCAGGTGTCCATCTAAACAGAGGAGAACCGCCAGTGTTTTCACCGCCTTCCGGACTGGTGGGGCGGAGAGTTTCCCAGCAAGGGGGTCGGGTGTGAGGGTCAGGTTAGGCAGTCCCTGGAAGCTGTCCAGCACACCCCACACCAGCCGACATCAGATATACTTCAGTGTCTTCCTTGTGCCACTCTGACACAGCCTGCTCACTCCCTGCTTAGGACACTCAGCAAGCATCACTAGGTAGATGCATATTGGTGTATTTCGCCCATGAGAACGTGAGCTCCGAGGCAGCAGGGAGGGTATCGTGCTCATGTCCTGCAAGCCTAGCAGCGAGCTTTCTGCTCAATAAATGTTTAGCGCACTGAACATCAGGAAAGAAGACAGTCCAGAGCCCAGGGAGAGATGATGCCGGAGACGGGAGAGTTCGGCTTGGATGGACTGATGCTGATGTGTGCAGAGGGGGCTGCACGACTGAGGCCCAGGAAAAGCCTACCAGCGAGAGAGGAATGCGGGGCTGGAGAGACCATCAAGTTTTCCCTTCTCACTGGAGCCTGCCCCGCCCCACTGCCATCCCCTCAGCCCCACCCAGAACCCCCCTCGGAGCCCTTGGCATGAATCCCAACTTCACCACTTGCTCAATCTGGGCCTGCCTCTTTCACAAGGGATCAAGGCCTTCCCTCCCACAGCTGGGTTGCCGTAAGATTGGTGCTGGTAACATTGTTTGCTGCTTTCTTCCATCAGCTCACCCTCCTGACCTGACCGTATTGTCCTCACACTACATGGTAATCTCATCTTTATCTAATTGCCCGCATCTCCCCTTAGGCTGGGTGACTGCACAGCCTAGGCCACGCCCCTTCCTGGCCATTTCAGGGTCCTTCCTGGGAGTGCCAGCCCAGAGGGCAGTCAATACTCCAGGCTCCTGGTGTTTGGAAAGAAAAGGGCCAAGGAGCTATGGAGTCAGGGGAGATCTCAGGGAACGGAGTGGGATCCCTCAAAGTGGTGACATCAGGCCTTGCTAGCCCAAAGTACGAGAGGAGGCCCACCTGTAAGAAGAAATAAGGCAGAAAACGCATGTGGAAGCCGCCCACTCCCTGTGGTCCCTCACTCTGTCTTCGCCTCACTTGGGCACACAGGGAACCTCCACCACCCCTTCCAAGCCCCCAGGCCTTTCTGTGCTCCATGCCCGGCTCCCCAGCCCTGGGGTCCTGGGAGTGGGAAGCAGATGAGTGGGACCAGTGATGGCCTAGTCTGCAACAACAGTACCATTCTGTTGCCTCAAGATGTCATCAGCCAAACATGTGCTCAGCCCCCACTCTCCCAGGCCTGGGGGACAGAGGTGGGCGGCTGGGGTGAGAGACAGGAAGCCAAGACTGAGAAAAGGAGCACATCCGCAGCCCAGAAATCCTTGAGAGATGAAAAACCACAGGAGCTGCAGGTGGCTTCTTAGCCGCCCTCCTGGTCAAGCGCAGGCAAGCCCCCTCCATCTGCAGATGGAGAAAGTCCCTCAGACACAAACGCTTGAGGCTTTCCCCTGTGCATAAACATACCACCTGCCTTCTTGGGGGCCCAGGGAAAACCCCAACAGGAGGACTTCCTTCAGGCTCGCCCCCACCTGGGCAGGACACTCCCTAGAGACCACACACAGGGATGGCCTCAAGCTCCCCACCATCTCCCCTCCTCTCCAGCTCCCAACTCTAAGCTGCAAAGGGGGAATGGGATGGGGGTAGAGGCAGACAGAGGATCACATGAGTTTAGGGAAGTTTTCAGGGGCTGGAAGCAACACGTGGGATTTCCTTAGGGCTCAAACTCCAGAGCCTCTCCAAGTTTACAACCGGGATGCAGGGGCCAGTGAGCATCTGTCCTGAGCATATTTTGGCCAGTTACCCATGCCCCTCTCCCCCAACAGAGAATAATAAATTCCAGGCTGGGTCTCACTCAGCTTTGTTCCTCTTCATCCCCTCCCCTGCCCAGGGTCTGGCCTATAGCAGGGCTGTGGTCAATGATGGATGCAATAAATGCATAGGAATGATAACCACGGTTACATTTTGTCTTCTTTTGGGGTTACTAGAGCCTGCAGATCCTCTCTGCTTCATTCATTCATTCATTGAATCATGCATTCATTCCCACATGCGCATGTATATGTGCTACATGCTTCTGCCTGAGAGATGGTTCAAAGGGCAGGGAGTGGAGATATAAGGCATTGTTCTGACCCACCAGCACCTCTCTGGTGCAGGTTCCATGATGCCACAGCCCTTCCGAGGCCCAGCAAGGAGCCTGCCCTTTAGGGGAGTACAGTCAACCCTTAAACAACTTGGGTTTGAACTGTGTGGGACCACGTACACCTGGATTTTTTTTTTCCAGTGGACCCACTCAGCTCAATTGACCACAGTCCAGTCGACCCTCGCAGCTAAAACCTGCGCTGTCCCAGGGGCAGCTGGCAGTGGGGCATCTGCATGTACGGAGAGCTGACTTCAGTTATACGTGGGTTTTTCACTGCATGCCCTCCGCGCCCCTCACCCCCACCTTGCTCAAGGGTCAACTGAACCCACAGGACTCTTGCATCATTGAATTGAGTCTTAAAGATAGCAAACACCTGTGTCCAGGTCAGTCCCTCCTCTTCCACCTGGCATCCGGGGGCCCACAGGCCAAGACTCTTGAGACAAAATGCCCCTAAGGAGCCAGGCCTGGAAGCACAGTCTTTCCAGACAGAGGTGCCAAACAAAGATGAGAGGGGTGAGTGGGGAGGGGAGGGGAAGGGGAGCGGGGAGGGGATGAGAGACACACCTGGGGGGGGGGTCAGAGCTGGCAGATTGAGGCTTACCTCTTCTGCTGCAGCAGGTTCTGCTCATCCCGGCTCTGAGCCCATGACTCCTGTCTCTGAAACCATCTACAGAACTTTCTCCACAGGCAGAGGACCAGCCCCTTCTTCTGGGGCAGCGGCAACCCCATGTCGTGTAGGGCGGGCTCCTTGTGGGGCTGAGGCCGAGGCCAGACTTGGACCGGGCTCAGCCTTGGGGCTACATTGGCCTCACCAAGGGCTGGCCTGCCTTCTCCCTGTAGAGGTCCCATCTCCTACCTCCCTGGCCCCCACAGGAGTCTCGGGGAGGCACCCCAGGCAGGCTTCAGAGGACTCTGAGGTTGTTCCACTTGGCAGAGCCAGGACTCCCTCTCTGGGCTCCTCCTGCAGCAGCTCCTCCAGAGCCGTGCAGACAAACTCCACTCCCTCCTCCCAAATTACCTGAGATTTAAAGAGACAGGCCAGCCGACCTGCCTGCCACCTGGGGCCTTGCGTAAACTCCTTCCCTGAGGTCTCTCTCCCTGCCCCTCAGGCCAGTCCAGGGAGGGGAGGCCTTCAAAGAGAATGCAGAGGCCTCCCCTGGACTTTGGGACTGGTGATCTTTTACAGAAAGATCTAGACCGATCATACCAGACTGAGCAAGTGAGTGAGCCCACCTCTCCCACGGGGCCTTTCCTGCCAGCCGCCCTCCACCCTTTTCTCTGCCACCTCGTTGAGAATTAGCTCCTCTTGACCCTTCCAATGTCATCTATCACCTGGCCCAGAACAGGTATACACATATGGGAAACTCATCCACTGTGGGGTTAGCATAACTTTTCTGTAAAGGGCCAAGAGAGGAAAAATAAATAGTTTAGGCTCTGCAAGCCCAGGCACACAGTCTCTGACACACACTCTTCTCCTTTCTTATAGCCCTTTAAAGATGTAAAACTCATTCCTAGCTCCCGGGCAAGGGCACAAAAGGAAGCTGTGGGCAGGGTTTGGCCCCGGGACAGTTTTCAGCCCCCTACTCAGACCTCTAGAGACCCTCCCCACGTGACAGATATGTAGGGGGCTGCCAAATAAAATACAGGATGTCCAATTCAATTTGCATTTCAGATAAGCCAGGAATTCTTTTTGTTTAACTATGCTAAGTCTTGCAAATACTTAGTGGAGGGTGCATTTATTCGCCCACTCGCTACTGCCTGCTGGGCCCTTAACTGAGTATTCCCAGGTGAGCTCACATCATACCTGTGAGGCAGATATTATTATTATCTGCATTTCACTAATAGGGGAAATAAACAAAACTCAAAGTGGCAAAGTGAATCAGCCAAGGTCATACAGCCATTCGGTAGCAAAGACCCCCTCCCGATGCAGAAGCCCACCGGCCGTCTGTCCTACCCAGCTCCCTCATTCCAGCTGGCACATAGAGCTCCCGGGGGAGAAAGAGCTGCCCAGTCACAGGAAACGGGGACAGCAGGATGCACAGCCCATCCTGGTCCGACGACATAGAACTCTGCCAGGAGCGAGCTGGGAGGCATCGTGGAGATCAGTTAGTTCAATGGCTACACTGGGAAAAAACAGGGGCCCCGGCTTATGCAAAGCCCGGGCAGCCAGGAGCCAATGGCCTGGGGCCTGAGTGTCTGGGCACTTGGAGTCCCAGGTGTGTGTGGGTCACCCACTAGCGGTTTTTTTCCTACCTGTCCCTGATTCAAAGGGCTGAAGGCTACAGCGAGAAGAGTGTGTGAGTGTGCTTGTGGTATGTACGTGTGTGAACGTGTGTGTGGTGTGTGTGGTATGTGCATGTGTGTGTGTTTGTGTGTGTGTGTGTCAGAGAGAGAGTGTGTGTGTGTATAGGGGAAAGAATAGGCTTAGGTGTAGGGTGGGGTGTCTCTGTGGGTGGGATGTAGGAGGGCCGCCCTCAGATCTGATGGGAAAGGTGGCCACCTGTTCCAGCTGTTTGGCCCAAGGCCAGGCCATAGCACCCTGAGCAAACAGTGCAGTTCAATTCACTGCCTTCCCCACCCATCCAGAGGTCAGTGGGTTCAGGCTGGCTGGCAGGAAGGTGCTGGAACCCAAACCTTGAACCCAGGACCTTTGTGCCCAATAAGCCAGTGTTTGTCTGCTGCTTACCCACCCATCTTCTCTGTGCCATTGGACTCCAGCCAAAGACCCCAGTTCAGCCCCTGATGGGACAGAGGACAAGGTAATGAGGTATCTGCACGTGGAGGATGAAGGCTACAGGGGGACGCAGTCATTCCAAACCTTCTCTCCCTTCCTCAGCTTCTCCCACCTGCTGCAGCCCCTGCATGGGTCACCAGGACAAATGGGGAATTTAGAACAGACTCAAAATGGGTGTGAAGGGTGGGGAGGGGAGGGGAGGAGACAGTTGGCCAGATACAAGCTTCTGCCAACAGCGTCCTCTCAGCTCTTGGCCCCAACATCGTGTGCTTGGACAGTGGGGGAAGGTGGGCCGTGGCCTGGGTCACACAGTTCCCCTCCCACCTTAGAGCCACATTCCCTGCACCTCCAGGACTGCTGGCTCTGAGGGGACTGAGCCGTCCTGGAGTGCCTCCTCTCTTGAGGAGCTTGGCACGGCTCCCTGGTCCACCCCAAGGCCGTGCTGGGCAGCACCTCCCAACAGGGGAGCACTCAGCTGTTTCTGCAGCCCAGGGTCCCAACTCGAGTGTCCGAATCCAGGGGGCTGTAGGTGCCGGGGACAAGGGGGGTGAGAGCGAGACCGGAACCCATGGGAGGATGGTCACAGTTGCTCGCTTCATCTGGTCAGACTCGCCATCACACCCTCTCCAAGTCCCCTTGCCCAGATTCCAAATTTCAAGTTTTCTGACTCTGGGCAAATCATTGTCCCTCTCAGTGGTCCCATCTCTAACGACGTGCACATGGACGTGAGGTGGCTGACGTCCAGCCTGCCCCTGACTGCACGGCACTCAGTCTCCAACCTCGTCTTGGGGAACTGAAGGAAGGGGTTGGAGCCCACGGGGGAGGAAGGCCAGGAGGATCGGCCTGGCCTGGGTCTGCAAGAGGTCGAGAATGGCAGGGGGCCTCTGACCAGCTCTTCCTGCCTCAGGCTGAGCTCAAACTGTAAGTAAAAGTTAGGTCCTCAGGATTCAACGCAGGGGCTCGGAAAGGTGGGTCAGCCAGATTAGGACTGGACTCTTCTGAGAGCCACACGGGCAGGGGCTGGAGGGCGTCCGCAAGATGACATGTGTGTGCGCACGTGTCAGTAGATGCAGGACTGGGCACAGCCCGGCTTGGGGGTGTAGGAGCTGCCTGATGCGGATTCTGCATTTCGGGCACCGTTTCTCAACCTGGGCACTACTGACATCTTGGAACAAATAATTCTTTAGTGTGGGGGCTGTTCCTATGCATTGTAGGATGTTTAGCCACCACTCACTGGGTGACAGCAGCATCCTCCTTGGCTCGGTTGTGACAATCAAGAATGTCTTTAGAGGGCCGGCCAAGTGGCGCGTTGGTTAAGAGCTGGCTTGGGATGCCAGATGGCCCCGGTTCGGATCCCACATATGAGGGCCAGTGACACTGCCCTCTACAGCTAAGATGGTGAACAACAGCTCGACCTGGAGCTGGGCTGTTGTGAAGAACAAAAGGACAGCAACTTGTCTGTTCCCCTTCCCCGATTCCCCAACGCTGTTCCCCTCCCCCAATTCCCCAATAAAAAAATCTTAAAAAAGAATGTTTTTAGACATTGCCTGATGTCCCCTGGGGATGGAGGGAGCAAAACCCACTCTCCATGGAGAACCACTGATTTAGGGCAAAAAATTGCACATATATATGTTTGTTTGTTTGTTTGCTAGTCTTGTCCCTCTTTTTGGTTGTTCTGAGTCTTTCTATGTTTCCCTCTGCTTTTTCTCTCTTACCAGCAATTGTGTCTGCTCCCTTGGTCTTACTCTCTGTGGTAGCGCATGTGGGGTGGGTGTGCATGTGTGTGAGGTGTATGTGTGCATGTGTGTGTGTGTGGTTGTGGTGTGTGTATGTGTGTGTTTCCTCGCGTGCGTGTGTGTGTTGTGTGGTGTGTGATGCAGGGTGTGTGTGTGTGTCCATGGCTTTCAGTGGTCTCTTTATAGAACCCTAGGTTTCTTTTTCTTCTTTCTCTTATCTCTGCCTCTTTGTTTTCTTGCTTAGCTTATTGCATCACCCCATCCCCGCTCCCTACCCCCGCTTAGAGGGTGTCTCCTTAGCTCTGTTGTCACGAGCCGGGCTGGCTAGGCAGCCCAAGGGGCTGTGATGATGGAGCTGGCACGGGGCAGTGAGGTCAACACCACTCAGCTTGGAGTTTGTTCCAGTCACCGGGTTCATGAGCCCTGTGTGCCAGCTCATAAAGCCTACAGAGGAGCGGGCGACAGATCAGCAGGGAGCAAGCACGCGTTACCGCATTGCCCGGGAGCTCGGGGAGGATGGTGTACTGCCAAATTGTCTGACTGGGAGCCCCAACTGCTGGCTACTGGGTGGACGGTTGGTCCTAGCAACCCTCTGAGGCTCTTTGCAATTCGAACCCATGACTCCAAAGGCCTATGAGCCACATGCGCACACACAGGCCCTTCAGCTTTCACAGGTCAGGTCTAAGCTGCAGAACCGTCATGCACTTTTCCCAACATGTGACCTTAGCCAGTTGCTAATTGGAGCTCCATCCCGCTGCCCTCATTCTCTCCAGCCTGTCCGTCCTCATCCGTGAGCCCACCTAAGCACTCACATCATGGGGGATTTCAGGCTCTCCATGCTTCTTTGAAAAGTTCTGGGGAAACCCAAGAGGAAGGTTGCTGAGGAACTGAGTCAATGTGGAAACGGGGCCTGGGGTTGGGGCCTGGGGGGTGGGGAAGGGCGGAGACCATGACATAAGGGCACCGTGCAGCCAGTTGCACACTCTCACTTGTGTGTGTGCACGTTACTTAACGTATGTTTATGTATGGTATGTTGTATGTGAAATGAATCAGTGTGTCACAGCAATGTTTTCAAACAGGGACGTGTGCACGTGTGTCTGTGGTCTGCCCTTGTTCTAGGAGTCTGTGGACTTTCAAATTCACAGGCATGGGTCCTTCTGGGTGCGTACCCCTTTTGCAGAATGTGCCCAAGGGCATAGATGAGCATATGGGTGTAAGGCGTGTGGAATGTAGGAGGTAAGGGAGCATACCCCCACTGTCAGCCAGGTTCCCCCTCTCCTCCCGCCCCACCTCTGCAGGGAAGATGATCTGATTCAGCCTTGAGAGCTCCCTCGGTTTACAGGCTCTCTCCCACCTCCTCAATTATTTTGAGCATCTTGTTTCCAATATCTTCCCATCTAGGAGGTGACAAGAAAGGGACAGAGTGCTGGAGAGAGCCCCACCGAGCTCTGACCTGACCCTGATTCTCTCTCAAGGTCTCCGTAGGCTGGAGTCATGGCTTCTAGTCCCCAGTGCCCCGGGATAGGGCAGTGTGCAGGCAGGTGGGGAAGTCCACAGCCACACTTCCCAAGCCGCCTCCTTCGCCTTCCTCCCTCTCTCTCTCTTCCTCCCAGACCCCAAGGCCTACTTCCTTCCAAAGCTGGACCCCCCTGCTCTGCTGCCTCCCCCAGTCTCTTCCATCCCAACTGACTTCACCCCAAGCTCTTTTATTTCAGGCACCAAAGCAGTCCACCAGGAACTGAGCCCCTGAAATGTGCAAAGACCCTAAAGAGCTTTCCAAATACGGTGAATGAACCGTGAGGCTGGCTCCTGGAAGAGGCAAAACAGACAGAGCAACAGTATGTGACCAGGACGGCTGCATCCCAACCCCAGTGCCACCAGAAATCACTGTTTGACCTTGGCCGGGTTACTCACCTTTTAGTTTCCAGATCTGCAAAAATAAGGACTCTCACATTACGTGGTCCTGTTCCTTTGGACATGCTCTGCTCCCCAGGCAGCCCCCCTCAGCTTCTACCTGCAGAAAGGCTGGGACTCAGGACACCTCATATCAGAAAAGG